CAAATGAACAATGGCGTCTCACTCTCTAAGCTCTACCTGAAGACTTGAGTGGAAATATGCAGCCGTAGCTCGGAGGATTGACTTCTTCGTTCTAAGCAGTCATTTAAAAAAAAAAAAAAAATCACATCTGGTCATTACACTACTTCATGGTGCTCTACTTCTGTTCCGTCTCTTCACACGACCTCTTCTGCCTCATCCACTACCCGTGACCCGTCATCGGTTCCTCTCACTGCCCATTTTGCCTGGCGGCTGCATCGCCCAGGCGTCGGGGTGCCTCCTCTGTCCCAACCAAAAGTTGACCTCCTTTGTAGTCCTGGGCGATTTCGGCGTCGTTTTGCTCGTTTCTGTTCTCGTTCCGCGCGGGAACCTGGGAAGGAGTCTGGTCGGTCTTGGTGTGCGTGGTGTGCAACCGTGTGCAACGGCGATCGGTCACATAAGCGATTGGCTGGAGTTTTAGATAAGGCGAAAAGAAGAAAAGAACGGCTGTTGGGTTGAGTCCTACAACTTTGAGGTGAGCTCCTCTTTCTTCAAGTGTTGTTTCCTGCTCCAGCTCATCCTATTGCCTGATCTTTTTCAGAGCACGGGGGCTTTCGGTACCAAGCCTATCCATTCACTCAGGTGATCAAGCCAGGACTCCGATCGCACCTCAGAAGCAGATATTGTATACGTGTGTACTGTGTATATATATATATATACATGCAAACATACAGCTTAACCACAAAGCTTAGTCCCCCCTGCTTCCTTTCAAGGGTTCAAGGTCTTGTGCTAACGGAGCTGCCCATCTGCTGAGAGTCTCTGTGCCATTTGAAAGCTGGATGGACAGGGACAGCAGTCGGCCCTCCTTGTGCGAATCCGGCATGATATCCTCAGAGGAGGACCCAACTGTTCTTACTGCGGTCTTTCCATGACGGTAGGATTCGTATCCCAGGGTCCTAGAGCTCCAAAGAAGGGCACTCTCCCGTGGAGCTAATTACACATAGGCACATAGGATACCATAGGATACCATAGGTGTTTTCTATGTTGGGAGTCACTAGCCCCGCAGGCTCAGAAGTCTGCATCCCAGTTGTGCTCGGCGCGTTGAATCACCAACCTAGGGCACGGTTCCCTTTGATCCTGTCGCTTCCTTTCTTTTCCTGCTCTCATTGGACTGAGGGTGGCACTGTATGCCAGTCGTAGTGACCGTTCGCATCGCTCTGAACTCTTGCAGCCTGGGATGAGCGTAGGAGCCGCTGGTGCGCTGCCTATGGCCTCTTGGCCTGTGCGGCCGTTGACTGCTTTTCCATACATGTTTGCCACTGTTCCTCTACCAACTGCTCCCCTTAGGGATAAACCTTTAGTATATGACAACATGACCATACCATACCTATGAAGCACCGACTTCAAGACTGCATATCCAAGGGCAGTGCACGCTGGCACCAAGGAAAGGTGAGTATGCGCTATGCTTTATCAAGAATCAAGTTGTAAATGTGTAAAGCCCCAGTCGTCATGCCGAGCAGGAATTCTACTCCCATCTCCACCCTTTTCCTCCCGTTGTCCCTTTCATCTGCCAAGCTGCAGGATAGCCTTGATTGCTGAGCATCAGGGATGGGGAGAGATCTGAGTAATGTTCAAGATTAGCTACTACTGCAAGACAAACTTGAAACTCTGAGAGCGTAGAAGTTCACTCTTTATTCAGAGCCGGACTTCCTCGTCGTCTGATTCTTATGCCAAAAAGCACTGGTTGATGCCCACAATGCCTGCTGCCTGATATCTGCAACTAACCACTTCCCGAAATCAAGGGTTACTAGAGTGTGCCTGCTGGGCTTGTACCAGAAACGACCGTGCAGTGTATAAACATGCATGAACTATATATATATATGGTTTAACCGTACCTTAAGTAATTATAACCTTCCACGCATGCCCTGGATTCATCTCTGATTGAATCTTGGAGATTTGAGGTCTGTTGAACCTGAAAATCAGCAGCAAACCCAAATCTCAAGCCCAAACCCAAACGCATCCTTCTTCTTGTCAGCTTTCTGCCCGAGTGTCTCACCAGATTGATCGGCTCCACGTCCCATAAAGGCCCCAGCTGCCAGGCTCGCGCATTCGCCTCCTCCGCCAGGCGCCACAAACGCTCGAAGAGCCACCGGAACCTCAGCAGGTTGGTTCACCGGGTGGCGTTCCGGTCGTTCGCGAAACGGGTTCCGTTCGGTTCGTGGGCGCGCTCCAACGAGCGCCTCTAGGCCCCCGTAGCTTCCAACACGTCCTCATCTTGGGGGTGGATTCTGAGCACAAAATTCCGCAGGCGATCGAAATGTTCACTTTTTCGAGGTGTTCTTATTATAAAAGTCAATGACAGTTATCATGAATACTATTGATGGATGTTTGCTCTTACGGAAATTTCCAATGATAAAGTCCATCATTTGTAATATATGTTGTATTCCATTTCTTAAAGAAAAGTGAGGTGAATAATTGACCTCATGTGGTTGGGGAGATTTGCTGGTACTCATGCACCGTTCTTTTAACTCAGACGCTGGTCAGTTGACGTCCCTCAGAGCTCTTGACGTCCCTCAGAGCCTGAATCAGTACCTCCCCTTGAAATCCGCTTGAAATCAGTGCCTTGTTCAAAAGCTTCCAGAATCAACCCCTACCTCTGTCACACAGAGAATGCAGCCCAAATGGCCGAACATCACTTGGGTCCAAGGTGACCATCTGAGCTGCACGGACCTTAGGCCAAGCACCTACCTGGGACGTCTGGCCTGCGACGTCCGAGCTTGTTTGAAACTTGAAAGTGACCATGTTCCATGAATCTTCGTCAAACCAGGTCTTCGGTTGCTTCTAACTTCTAAGAAATCAAGCTCCATCTGGCGTAAGTTACAAATAAATAAGGCATCTCGAACTGCAAGATACTTCCCATGGACCTCTTCCCATCATGCCCAGGACAACTAAGCCCAAGTCGTTTTCACGAAGTAAGCCGCTGGTGTCGCCAACCAGAGCAGCCTCGCCACTCAAACAGGGCCCCTTTCGAGAGAAGACCGAGCAAGACCTAAACCATAGGCCAGCATAACTAGACCAGCTCAGGTATCTCAAGGTCATTCTTTTGGGTTAGAGCCAGACCCACAGGCAGATCCTGCACTTGGCAAAGCAACACGTTTTCGTGTGGAAGTTCACCAGCGCGGCATAGCCTGCTGGTCCTGGAAGAGGTCTTGGACCTTCAGGCACTCCTCCATGGTCAAGGCTTCCTGGAAAGCCACCTGGAACGGCTCAAGAAAACTGAGTGACGTGAAGGAAGGAGCATTGTGACTGTGACTACTGATACCTGCCAAGACTGGAAGTACAGCTTCAGTAGATAAGAATCTATGTTTGGACAACATCATGATGTGTCAGCCATTTAATTATCTCTCTCTCTCTCTTGAGTTTGTTGTTTTGCAAAGAGGCTCTTTGGAGGATTCTTTTTTGACCCTGAAGAACATCCGGTGTAGAGCCAGAAAAGACTTCCCTCAAAGAGGGTCATGTGTCAAGGTGGATCTAGAAAGCACGGGATCAATCGTGTCGCAGCGGCTGTGAAATTCCTCTTGGTGACGCCCTTCACCATCTTCATGGATGTCTTCGCATCCGGCCGCCACTTCCTGGGTCCCAGCAGAGTGAAGGTCGAGTCTGGTCTTTCTCCCGGGCGTGTCGCACGGCACGCAGAAGTGAGACTCAAAAACCCAAGCTCCCATTGATTCGACTACTCACTATATATATAGCTATAACTATATCTGCTAAGAGTAACTATGACTATAACTATATGTATATGTAGCTATGCAGTATATATGTGAATATATATATATATATATGTGTGTGTGTACGATCATAATTGTAATATGATGGTCCATCCAGTTTGAAGGTGGACAAATAGACCCATCCCGCTGAACGCCTGGAAGACCAGCAACCTTGTACCTCGCCGGGTCTTCGCGCTCTCACTTCGCGCTCTTCTCGTTTCAGCAGCGGGTCCATCGTTGAGAGTGCCATCGGGCCACCAGCGCAGCAAACACGACGGATGCAGCGCACAACCACCCGTAGGTGGTCAAAATGCCCATCCGATCTAGCGACGGCTACGACCATTCCAAGAGAGGCGCTTGATCATACATGTTTTGCCCCACTCACGTGTTGTTCTGAGAAAGGGATCAATTCCCATACATGCTGGGTTCCGCCTATCCATGTGTCCTCTGCGTTCTTGTTGTATCGAATACCACCAGAATACCCAAACATGTGTCCATCGAAAGCTTGCATGGGAGTTGCTTCAACTCAATGTTGTTCTGGCAAATATGTGGAACATTCTAGAATCCCCACATAGAGTAATAAAGCACTTAAGTCTTCTTCTGGTTGCAAAATCAAACTAGTGGCCTCTAGCGATCTTCGCTCTGACACACATCCAGGCGAACAGATGTGATCTGCTTTAGCTAAGGGCCTCTGAGACATCTGATGACAGGAATCAACAGGAATTGACAGCACACAAAAGTTGAGTAGCTTAATCCAAGCTCTGCTGCCCTAAGAAGCTGGATCGAGCATTCCCGATCGTAGTTCCAATCGTGCTCGTTCCATCCAAGATGGGTCAAAAGTGACTGAATCGCTTGCAAAGTGACTACCTAGAAAACATATTTATATATTCATATATACAAATATACACCCTTCATGTTCAAACCACATCTTGAGGGTGTTTTGTAGGTGGTGACGAACAGTAGGTGAAGCTAATCACGTCCAGGCAGGCTTGCAAGTTGCTCGGAAGGCGCTTCCTTGGCCGCTGCGAACTTCCATGTGATGAAAAGCATGGGTAGGTTCACTAACCATCTGTTCATCACAAATTACTACTAATTACTATAGCTACCCATTTTGTTGGCGAAGCGCCACTCCAAACTTTTGCGATCCCCCCCATGGTTTCTTCTCCTTTTGCCACCGGAGTGCGGAACGGCCGACGCACGGGACTGCACGGGGGATCTGCGATGCGAAGCGGTGCTCGGTGCTTTGACGTGTTGGATGGGATGGCCCAACACCCAAACAGACCGGGTCGCTCCTGTGATCGCCATCAACTCGTGTGATCCACACCCGGCCCCTGGTTTTGTCTCCACCCTTTGGACTTCAAATGAACCCCGAAAATTTTGGATGCTTGTGGATGTTTGGCAGTGGATGCTGAGTCGCTTGTCCCGGTTGAAATGGACTTAGCATACTTGTCACAACTCATCATGTTCCCTTCGTCACAACTCTGACCAAGCCAAGTCGTCCGAGCGGCCGAAAGACCCTTCGCCTAAGGCCACCTTCTGCATGTTGTACACATCCTGACAGCCGTGATGTCCATTAATGTCCACACCGATACCGGAGTCCGGCTCGACACGGGCGATGTCAGCAGCAAACTTCATACAAGTTGATTGGCGAAAATTAGAGAAAACAATGTAACAAGCAAAGCAAAAATGAACATAAACACCGCGTGCGATCAGAATGTTATTTTATAGACTTAGTTCCTTGCCAAATATCATCAAATATCCTATCAAAGGGGTGGAGTAGTTCGAAGGGGATAGCGAAGTACCACCTGTACAGCCTCCTGCAGTTTCCCGTTGGATGCTTGCCTCCAAGCGCCCTGCATTCTCCCGTGTGAAGTCATGGTCAAAGACAAAGGGGCCTCGTGCATGCGCATCCCAAAGCGGGCGGAGCCGCCTTTGGGCCCAAAACCCATGTTCCTTTGTGGGTTGCACATTGCATAAGTTCTTGATGGTTCTTGGATCCAGCTAACATCGCCAAGGCCCGCAATGGCCAAACAACTAGCTCTATATTGAAATAGGATGGAACCCGATAATCCAGACCTCGACATGTTTGATTTCCCAGAATCTGTGTAAGGATCATTAAGGATCCACGTACTTGACCAAAGCCAACACAATCAATGGAGCAAAGCTGCAGCAAAAAGCGCTTCACAATCGAAAATCAAACACCCCAACCTCCTGGACTCTGCACTTCATCAAACATTACCCTTTGGGACTCCTTCACGGCTTGCCTGCGGAACTCCCAACTCCATGTGCCTGAGGAATTCCGGTACAACGCCTCCTGAGAGGCCTCGGACGGTGAGGCCTCGGAGAAAACGAACGGACGTCCGGGCCTCGCCGGGTCTCGGAAAAACCGTAGAACGCTCGGGTCCTTCCGTGAACGGGGGGGGTTGTTGGGGAGAAGGAAACCGAGGTCTTGACGCGAACGAGAAAGCACGCGTTGTTTCGGTGGGGGAGACCGGAAAAAATAGCCACCGTGGACCAAGTGTAGCGAAAACACGAACAACGAAACAAACAGGCACCTGAGTTGAGGGATCCTGTTTGTGGACAAGTTCAGCCTATTAAATCTGTTTGGGGGGCTGAGTCTTCCAGCATCAGGGCTCGCCATGGCACCATGGGTTAGACATGGAGAGGTCAAGGTAGAGTAAACTCAGCTTGGTCCAGCTTGGTCCACTGATGTTTTAAGATCTTCATGTCATAATCACGTCCAACATCATCCCATTGTCATTGGATTTGATTGCATCATGTGACATTGAGTAAGAGTAAACCCTGTTTACTGGAGTTGGGCGTTCATGCTCGATGTCGCGGGATGCTTTTTCATGTGTTGATCCTCATATTCCCAGAATGTGTTCTTAATGTCTTGGCAACTTTCTCCTGAGGGAAGCCATTCTATGCCTCTACCTCTGAGCTTGGAACCAGCTGGTTTTGCAAACTGGCTTGCTGAGAGTTGCTTGCACTTCTCATTCATGCTTTTTGATGGTGATGATGCTTGAAATCATGGCAATGCGATGGCCAAAGACTTTGAAATGGCACACCGAACCGTGCGATTGGTTCGAACATCCATGACCTTCCAGACCCATCAGGGTCTGGTCCAGACTGGTTTTCCCAAACGTGGCGATCGTGCCATGAGCATCCCAAAATGCCATGCGGGATGTCATCCATCTTCTCATCCATGTGGCGGTTGTTTGACTTAGCCATCTCACGAACCGCCTCGTGGAATCCGAAGAAGATGGCAATGTGGATCGACCATGTGGATCGACCAAGAAGAGTCCGAAGATTCACCCCATGATGGCAAGCTTAACCTTGTGTGGACACAAGTCCTTGTTGCAGAGTCATGAAGCCCTCCAATGAAATGTTGTCACTGTGGGCGATTTACCTCTGCTAGCTGTGGACTGTCTAGCACTGCTA